TTTCATGTACATTTGGTTTCACTCCCCAATTACCATCCATCCCCAACCCTCACCCTCTCCTCCCTGCCCTGCCCAGTACCCTCTCCCCCCCTCATAGTTCTGCACTCCTGTGTGACCTGCATTTCCTCCTTGCAAATGTTGCCCCTCTGGTGCCCCGTGGTCCTATTGCTCCAAGGGATGCATCTCCATAGAATATGTGGGTGCGTCACCCTGGGTTGAATGGTCTGCATGTACATCTTATTTACTATTGGGCTGAGAGCCAGCCCCTAGGAGTGAGTTTTATTCCAGGCCCGAAGTAAATCCCAGGGCCATAATAGTGGGGGCCCTACCAGACTCCATCCAACCAGTAATTATTGACCATCCGACCTGGTCAATATTTTTTTTTTTTGGATTTTGTTCCACGTTTTCCCTCCCACACTATCCAGGATCTCCAGTTTTGATCCTTCCCCGAGTAGTTAGTGTTGGTAGCTGGGCACCTTCTAGTTCTTCTGGTCTCGAGGTCCATCATGTCCTAGGGCTGATTGCTTCCAAATGTCTTTGGTTTTTTGCACTTTTCTGATGGCACACAACAACAACAACATTGCTTCTTATGATAGGAGACCATTAGCTGCATCTTAGATGGTCGCTCAAAAGCTTTTAAGACCCCAGTCACTACTCACCGACGTAGGTTGTAGAACAAGATTTTTATGCATTTTGTTGTGCCAATTGAGTCTGGTGTCCCCAGTACTATAGTCCTGAGTCAGTAGATCCATTAGCTCTCTCTCCCACAGTGTCTGGCTGTCTGTGAGGGATGGCTCTATGTCTGTCTTCTGTTGTTTCTGTAAGGATTGTAGGTATTTTGTATCACTGGTGTCTGTGCAAGATTAGCCTCAGCTGAATCTATTCGTGGTCTAGAGTATACTCCTGTTCACTGACTTCCATCTGAGAAGATCAGATGTTTATGTGTTTATCTGTAGCCTGGTGTTTAGTGTTAATGGTAATGCAGTATTGTAGATATACTGGTATTAGCTTCTGTTATCTATATTTTATGTGCACAATTCGGTGTCCTCCCTTTGCCCAATGTTATCACGGTGGTCACAGACTCTTTCCATACCATCCCTCACCTTCCTTACCTCAGTGTGTGGCTCCCAACTAGCCTGAAATTGTTCCTGCCCCTTCCCTCCCCACCCTGGTAACCTAAAGAGTGAGTTCCCTTCCTTAAGAAAACCATTCCTTGTCTTTTTACAGTAATGGGCTCATACAATATTTGTCCTGTGACTGACTTATTTCACTCAGCATAATGTCTTCCAGGCTCATCCACGTTATGAGATGACTCACATATTTTTCATTGTTCTTTAATGCAGCATAGTATTCCATTGTGTGAATGTACCATAATTTGGTTATCCATTCATCTGCTGTGGTGGTTAAGTTTGTGTGTTAACTTGGCTGGGCCTGATTGAGTGGCTGGGCAGCTGGTGGAAGTTATTCCCCATGATGAGACTGGCAATCAACTCCATGGTGGAACCAACCACAAGCAGCTGAGTAGGTGCTTTAGGGATGTGGTCTGCTTCCTGTGCATAAGAAATAGCTTTGGGAATGGTCTCTAGTTTATAGCACGCTTGACCTCTGCGTGTAGCTGTGTTGTTGTTCAACAGCCTGCCATGCTCTGCTGACCTTGGGACTTTCAATGGACTTGAATTAATGGCCTGCTGTGTGGTTTGGTAACATTGGGACTGTGTCCTTTTACTGGTCAATCTTGTGCTTGTCAGCCTCAGCAGCCAGCAGCTGAATGAATGCAGAAAAGCTTCTAGCTCCAGTGGGCCAGGAACAGGAGGTGGAGCCGAAGCCCAAGGTTGAAGGGCTTTCACCCAGCCCCTAGAGCCTGGTACTTTGAATTTGGACTTAAAGCCTCCAAACTGTGAGAAAATAAACTCCTGTTTGTTAAGGACATCCCATTTGTGGTATATTCCTGTCAGAGCAGTACTAGGTAACCAGAACATCTGTGAATGGGCATTTAAGTTGTATAGTGAATTGCTATAGTGAATTGTGCTGCAATGAACAGAGGTGTGCATATGTCTTTTCATGTCCTGCCTCTCACATCTATAGGATATATTCCTAGTAATGGAGTTGCTGGATCAAAAGGTATTTCCATTTTCAGTTTTTTAAGGAAATGCCATATTGCTTGCCACAATGGTTGTACCATTTTACAATACCACCAGCAGCGTATAAGAGTTCCAATCTCTGCACAACCTCACCAGCATTTGTTATTTTCTGTCCTGTTGAACTTTGCTATTATTGCTGAGGTGAGATGATATCTCATCGTAGTGCCTAAGGCATATGACTGCTAACCCGAAGGCTAGCAGTTCAAACCCACCAGCCACTTCTCAGAAGGAAGGTTTGGCAATCTACTCCCATAGTGATACTGCCTCGGAAACCCAAGGAGGGGTTGCTATGAGTCGGGTCTGACTTGATGGCAGTGGGTTAATAACTAAAGATCTCGAACAATTCCTCATGTGTCTGTTGACTGCCAGCTTATCGTCTTTAGTGAAGTGTTAAAACAGGCCATTCTTGAGATGTCTTCTAGCCCACCACCCGTGGTCAGTGTTAACCAGTTTTGGAGCCTGCACACCCCTGCCATCCTTTACCACCTGATGAACTAAGATGGCCAATCCAAGATGAGAATAAGATTCAAATCAAGAGCAAATAGCAGAATACACCTGTGCAGAGGAAGTCACAGCATCCGTGTTGGAACACAGACTCCATCTTAGAAAGAGCCTGTGCATGCACCTAGCCTGAAGGAAGTTGAGGTCTGTCATTAGGAATTTATCACAGCCTTATTCCACTTCCTGACTTTCACAAAAGGGTCAGGATTTTATGAATACTTGCCTGCATAAGGTCTTTTGAAATCACATACCCTATGGCCTTAAAAAATACTATAAAAACCCCTAGCTTGTAAGGCTAAGGGAGACACACATGGTGTTGCCTCTGGCCCAGTGTATCTCCACCTAGCAAGCTTACTATTCTCTTATTAAATTTCTCTCTGAGCTACAGCTGACTTGCTAGTCATTATTCTGGAACTCAACCTGTGATAACGTCATTTGCTTTGGGACTTAGTTCCCCCAATAGTCAAATGCAGGCAATACTTGCCTCACCCACCTTAGAGGGTAGTTGTGGAGACACAAATGAGTTCAAGCCCCCAAACTATCTCACCCAATGGGACTGCAGTGAAGTGAGTGAGGCACTCACCTGAGGTCTCAAAATCTAAAGGGGCACCAAAAACCTTCCATGATCAAGATAAATAATATCTTAATGCAATGTTTATAAAAATAAAAATTAATGTAAAAAAGAAATCTATGATGAGCTAAACAGCATAATTTTAAATAAATAGGATTAGAAGTACTGATTTTTTTCTTTTGCCTCAAGCTCTGTTACACTGATTCTTTATTTAAAATTTTGCTATTTTGTTGATCGGGGATATTTAGCATTAATTTTGATAATTAAAACCTATAGCATGAAATATTATTTATCTTGAATATTTGATTACTGTATGATGCCCCCTTATATTTTGCATACTACAAATTCATAGAGACACAAAGTAGATTAGAGTTTGTCAGGGTCTGGGAGGAGGGGACAAGCAGAAATAATCAATTAATGGATACAGCATTTCTGTTTGGGGTGATAAAAAGGTTTTGGAAAGAGATGGTGTTGATGGTTGCACAACATTAGGAAGATAATTTATGCTACTGAATTGTGCACTTTAAAATTATTACAATGGCGAGATTTATGTTTATATATATTAATAATTTTCTTTTTCTACAATGTTGAGCCCCTCTCGCCAGCTTCACCATAGTCCTGATGCTATAAACTCCCATGGAATGGGTTGTGTGGAATACAAGATTATCAATTTTACTGGCTTCTGACTTTTCCATTTTACCTTATTTTGGCATTTTCTCACATAGTTGTGTTAAAAAAAAAAAAAAAACCGCACAAAGTTGCATGGGCACGTCAAAAAGCCCCACTGGATTCCTTGCTGTGCTCTGTCTGTTGAATGGGGACAGGATCCTAAGGGCACAAAGCTGGCATGTGCGGTATTTTGGTATTTTTCTGGGGCCTTCCTTCCCAAGGCACTTGAAGAAGTCTTCATTGGGATGTTCGGTATGAAAACCAGTTTAACTCGTGGAACTGGAAAAATCTGTCTTTGTTTTTTGGGGAGCTCCTCCTACAACTACACACCCATCCCAGGGAAGATTGTTTGGATTTGCAAATTGCCTCATTCATTGTTTTCTAGTTTGGTAGCTATTATGTACCAAGGGCTTGCTTCAACCCTTTTGCAAAGTCAAGAATAAGTGACATCCAGCCTGGGTAGCCAGTGGCTAGGGTTAGGATGATAAGCATGAGAGGGGTTGAGATCAAGTGAGCATAAGGGAGCCTCTCTTCATCAGGGTGCTGTAGGTTTCTGCCCCTTTCACTCAAGGTGACAGCTTAAAATCCAGTTGACGAGAGAATACAGAGTAAGGTGGAAGTCCAATACTTGCCTCCTCCCATCTGTCACCCTGAGAAGTCTGCGATAATGCCTACAACCTCTCCTGATGTTATTGTTATTGTTTGGTCCCCTCCAGTTGATTCTGACTCATAAAGACCCCATGTGACAGAATAGGACTGGCCCATAGGTTTTAGTTTGGCAGTTTAAACCCATCAGCTGCTCCCCAGAAGGAAGATGGAGTAATCTACTTCCATAAAGAATGACCACCTTGGAAACCCAGTGGGGGTCACTATGAGTCAGAATCGACACAATGGCACTGAATTTGGTATTTTGGGGGTTAATCTTTACATAAGCAGATCAACAGTACTTTTTCCACTAGAGCAGCTGGGTGGGTTTGAACCACCAACCTTAGCAGCCAAGTGCTCAACCACTATGACACCAGAGCTCTTACCTCTCTTTCCTAGGACCCTGATAACTGTGCAGTGTTTGTTGTACAGGGAAGTAGAGGGAGGGAAAAAAAAAGAGTTGTTATAAAATGGAGAAGGTGCAGTGTGAGGAACATACCTCAGGCAGCCCAGAGACTCTGGGACCAAGAGAGTAAGCACTTAGCATTTGCAAAGCAACAGATATGTTTGGAGATGCACAACTCCAGAGCCACAATTGACTGACCACGGATGGGAAAGAAGATGATAGTTCCAGAAGGAAAGAAAGGGAGAAACGTAATTACCTCTTAAAGTCCTTGACATCTGATACTAAAACACGAGACAAGCAAGATTATGACATGCTGAACTATGACTTTTATGTTTGATATTTTCTATTCTTACAATGCTTCCCTTGTCCACATAGCATGGTTTTTTAGAGTAAAATGTTATGCAATTTATTACACTTCTGACGAAACCTTGGTGTATGTGATAGGTTGAATAACTGCCCCCCTCGCAAAAAAAAAAAAAAAAAAACACAACTCCACATCCTAAGCCCTGGTAGCTAAGAATTTGTTATTTTACATGGTAAAGGGGACTTTTTAAATATGATTAAATTAAGGATTTAATATGGGAAGATTACCCTGGATTATCCATGTGGGCCAAATGTAATCACAAGGGTACTAATAAGAGGGAGGCAAAAGGATCAGAATGAATAGTAGATGTGATGATGGAAGTAAGAGATTAGACTGACGTGAGGAAGGGACCACAAGTCAAGGAATGTAGGTGGCCTCTAGAAACTGAAAATGGAAAGGAAGTAAATTCTCCTCTGAAATCTCCAGAAAGAACACAGCCCTGTAGCCACCTTGATTTTAGATTTATGACCTCCAGAATTGGAAAACAATAAATTTTTGTGTTAAACCACTAAATTTATAGTACTAGGAAGCTGAAAATTGTGCCTAGAATTAAGCAGGAATAACATTAATATGGGGACAAATGTTCAAAGTCAGTAAAACATTTCTTTTGTTGTGTACTTGGAGGAACTCAAAGCCTGCTTGAGTTGAACAATGGTTACATTTCTCTACATTGTGCCAACATTCTCATAATTTTGGTCCTAGATACTCTGTTTCCATTGACCTTGTTTTACAGCCTTTCCTCCCTAACCTTTTTGTATGTGCTTTAGAGTATCTGTTGACCATTTGATCTAGATGGTTTTTAAAAGAGCATGGTACTTAAGGGTGATATTCATTACCTTATGAACTAACCTGTTATTTAGCTAAAAGATGATTGAGGGTATAGTTTCAGTTCAAGGCTTAGAGAAAATCTCGAGGTAATAGTCTCAGAGATTCCCCCTGTCTCATTGGGTTCAGTAAGTCTGGAGTTTTTGATAATCTGAAATTCTGTTCCACATTTTTCTCCCTTTCTATCAGGATGCAGCTACTGTAGTTCTGAACAGAATGTTCGATAGTGGTAGCTGGGCACCATCTAGTTCTTCTGGTCACAGAGTAGAGGAGGCTGTGGTTCGTGTAAATCATTAGTCCTCTAGACTGCTACCTTCTCTGAGTCCTGGGTTTCCTTATTTCTTTTTCTGCTCCAACAAGTAGAGACCAATAGTTCTATCTTTTATGGGCTCTCATAAATTTTTAAGACCCTAGACACTACTCACTTGACTAGGATGTAGAACATAAACTTTATGAACGGTATTATACCTATTGAGTGGGTTGTGCCATGAGACTATGCCCCTAAGTTTCTGAACCAAGATAACTAATTCTGTGAGGTGACTGGTTATGTCTAAGAAATATCAGTCTCTGTGACTCTTACTTGTCCAACTCATAGTGACACCTCCTTGATTTTCTGAGGCAGTATCTCTACAGAAGTAGATTGCCCAATCTTCCTTCCTTTAATATAGAGATATACACATACTTATGTATCTATTTTTACTTACATACATATTTATACACATATACATGTATCCATAAAGAAACCTCAGAAACCCAAGGAAGGGTT